AAATATTTCTACCTTAACTTGCCTCTGATATTTTAAAAACATTTTGTAGATATCCATAAAACATATTATAAACATGAAAAGGATATTTTTGGATAACGTTTGATATATATGTTGTCTGGATATTTTCAATTGACACTGAATGATATCAAAATTATGTTATTTAAATATAAAATCAAAATATTTAAAAATAATGTTCTTTATACATTCAGAACAAATATCTGCAGAAAATATGCTATTCACATGAGTACAGCCATACATTTCACGTCAAAAAAATATTTTTGAATGATATTTTTGTGACATTTTGCAATATATTTTAAAAATATCAATAAAATGTTTTTGTGCTACCGGGGTGTATAAACAGTTATTTTCTGTTGATTTTTTTCATCTCTTTAAGATAAAGGGTCATGTATTGATTTAATGTTTTACGTATTATATTATGTGTATTATAATTACATCTGAAATTCTATTTCGTGTTTTAGAAACAATGCCATCCATGTGTACACACTATAATCACAAAGAATGCAGAAACTATCACTCTAGCACATGTGTTATGTTAATTTTACTGATAACATTACAAATTTGATAAATGTCATTACTAAATGAATGCTGACAGCCACTTAAGTTTTATGTTGTTTTTATCTCAACAGTAGTGATCAGTAGTTGTACAAAAATTTTCAAATTGAGGTATGACTGTTTTATTAATACTTACTAAAAAAGAATTGTATTTTATGTTTTTGTCTTATGCCTTTTAATACACGAGGGTATGGATGGGGTTTACAAAATACAGAATAATGGCCAAAATAAATAATGAATAGAGAAAAATGAGAAAAAAATATAAAAAATAGAGAATAATGGTTAATAAAAGAATAAAGAATAGCAGTGGAAAATACAAGAATTAAAGGGCACTAGCTACGAGATATATAGAAAATTTAAAATATGATTTTTTTTGTTCAATCATTAATGAAAGTAAAATAATGAAATAATAATTCGCTTTTAGCAGCAAATATGGTTCAATTTTGTCAAAATAAGCTAAGAAACATCAATGATGAATTATTCACTTGTAAGTGAAAAATTCGACCTCATTGAATCCGTATTCATGTTAACTTCAATTTAACCCCTTAGCTAGAGATGGATAACGCATAAATCGTGCGTGATCAGTTATTTAAAGGAAAAGAATGTCAACATTGAAAGTGAAACAAAGGTACATAATTTGATTGACTGATTCGATCCACAAAAAATCATTCTTTTTTAATTAACATATATTTTTAATCTATAATATGAAATTAAATAGACCTAGAAAAATCTAATTGCACGAGTAACTTAATCTATAATGGTTTACTTTTATAAATTTTGACTTGGATGGAGAGTTGTCTCATTGACACTCATACCACATCTTCTTTATTTGTGTGTATATCCCTTATATGGCCATCGGAGGTTTTCCGAGGTCAACTCGATAGTTAATTAGATGGCGTCTAGACTAAAATACGAAACGAAGCTACATATTTTCGAGTCCATGTCCTGTAAATTGTTTATTTTAGACTTTTGATAGTTTGGATAAATGTTTTACATTGTTATAAATCAAATATGAGAATTTGAGTCGAATCGGTGAACATGAACTTGACAGCTAGTGCCCCTCCTGTACGAAATGGGACGCCCGTAAATGACACGGAAACCAGGCGTAGAAATCATACTCTATCAGGGCGTCATTGTAGTGTTTATTGAATGCATGTCCAGGCGTCAACCAGACGTAAAACAGGCGGAAACCAAGCGTAACTGAGGCGGAAACCAGGCGTAAAATTAGGCGTAATATTTAAATGAGTACGCCTGGTCCACAGAAAAACCAGGCGTTATATGCAAATGAGTACGCCTGGTCAATAAAAAAAACAGGCGTAATATCCTTACATAATACTACACTTATTTTAAATCAGTGTATTACCCTAGCTGTGTACTTTTGTGTATTTGATACAAACTTCTGTACTATTGCTTAAATTTCTCATTGTTTGACATGAAACTTGAAGTATTAACCATTAATTGAAGAAGCTATATAAATAAATACATATTAGACAGACACTGGCTCAAATATGTTTAAGTTTAAATTAGAATTATGACTATTAATTCTTCCCGAAATAAAAAAAGCACTTTAACTAAGTTTTTTTGAAAATTAATGACATTTGAACCAAAATATCAATGATAATGCTGCAATTTAACTTAATGTGAAAGATTGTAATGTTATCATCCAAGGATGAAGGTTTTCAGAATTCAAAATTACTGTTACAAAAACTTAGTTACTCACATAATTATCTTTTACCATGCATATTACTTTCCTTTTATTTCACAATTTTCATTAATCAATTTGATTCCATAATTCCAATTTCAAATTTTTCCAAAAAGCACAAACCAAGCTTAATTATCCCTGAATATATAAAGCTGCCATAAGTCTAGACTGGTTCCCGATCGCAATATTCAGTATGTTACACATATACCAATATAACGACCGGGACGGACTTTACGTTACCTTGAACTTGTTTACAACGTTCTTCAAAATCGGAGGTATTTCTAAACCAAACGCCGTCTTTGGCTAACTTTTTAATGATGGCGTCCCTGGAGACGCCCCTTCACAGGATGAATTCAGATATCAATCTCTCGGAGATGTCATTTAAATATTATAATATAAAGATAAACAGGAACAAATAAGAATAAATAAAAAAAAAAAGTTTGAAATAAAAAACAATTGTTTGATGCCAAAACTAGGACCTGAACAGAGAAATGAAAAGACACTATTTAAAAATTTTAAAAATTACGCACTTCAAAATTATTTCCAATTATTTATGTGTTTTTGTAAATATATATATAGGCCACGCTGCGCAAAACAGTAAATAATCTTCAGATCAATGAAGGACTACTGAAAACCTAAAGAAGAAGAAGGCCTTCATCTGACACTGGTTCTCCGTTAAAGCGCCCATTTTATGACGTTGATTTGTCCCACCGTAATAAAGCAAAACTAACGACTTCGAATTATATACCCGTAGCTTGTTATACTTATTTCTGAGATTTTTATATTTCTTTTTTATCTATATTTTAAATTTTTACCAAGTTTAGTACATATTGCAACACGATAGTGATTGTACCGGCCGTCGAAATGTTTTTTTCGTAAACCTGTAATTTCCGTTAACGGATAAAAGATCAAGCAGGACAAAATATTCAGCACAACATAGAGTGTGATATGAGTTAAATTTGATTATAAGGTTACCATAAATAATTTTGTTTATAACAATGGACATTTATTCCAAATCATATCAGTCTGAAAAACTAAAAAAAGTTGAAACTGCAGAGATTTGTTAAGCATGTAATCTCCGTGGAATGGTCTATTCTAAACAAACACCAATTTTGAAAATAAATTCTACATCCAACAGATCGATATCGGTGTCAACATTAAATTTAAGTACAACTTCTATCTTCAGATACACATATTATGCTATATAAATGATGAAATCATCGAAATGTAACCTCCGTGGAATGTAATCTCCGTTGACGTTTTGGTAAAGAGTGCTTTCTATCACGTCCGCATTTTTATCGAGTATGGCATGCCAAATAAACATATTAGATAATTATCACGGATGGCGAATATATAAATTACAGACCAATAGCATACATTGTAATTCAGGCGACATAAGAAGACACCATGTAACAATTCGTATTAATCAATTCTTTACGTGTAACAGAGTTGCTTTTATCTCAGATCTAGAAAAAAAAAAAACCGAACCGGATTTATATCAATATTAATATATGCAAGTAAATAATTTTAACCCGTTTTCAATATTCAAGATATGAAACTTTTATTATTAATATAAGTTTGATACCGAATTAAATACGATGTAACAATTATGCAAGTAGCCATAAAAATTGCTCTGCCTAATGAGTTTTATATCATGTTGCACAGGGAGAGAAGCTTTTAATTACTTTCTTTCATTAAAATGAAATTACGTCGGCTGAGAGGGCGTGGTATATATTGTCCGTTACATTCGTATAAAAACACCATGTACAAATATTCTTTTCGAAAATAAATACAGTTAAATAGATCAAACAAAGCTATCCGTCACAATGATATATGCCGGTCTGGATTAGGGGAGGGGGTCTAAATTTCTGTATTTTGTAATTCTTTTGGCCATTTTTCTCTATTCAGTAAGAAATATGCTTATTCTGTAAAATTCTTGTGTTCAGTTCCTGCATATGAAATTAACTTTCCTGTTGTATCACAATTTTGACATGACAGATCTTCTTGTTCGTATCAACGACATACGTATGACGACATTACCCCGTACACCCCTTTTTTGGAATCTGTCACTGAACTGCACAAATGATACCAGTAGTAGTAGAATATGGATAAGAAAACAGTAGAGCAGGTAGAGCAGGTAGAGCAGCTTATGTAAATATTGTGCTAGTGATGGTGGAATGTTTGTGTCCACGTGTCATACTTTTGACCAAGGTAGAGCAACATTGGTTGGTAACCAGGTTATGTTTGTCGTCCATTTTGTTTCCACGTTGCAAGGTAGATCAACATTGGTCGGTAACCAGGGGTATGTTTGTTGTCCATTTTTGTTTCCACGTTGCTGACTTTTTCAAGGTAGAGCAACATTGGTTGGTAACCATGGGTACGTTTGAGATGACGTCCATGTTGTCCACGTTGTAGAATTTTGTGTTGTTTTTTGCTTGTCTAAATTGTTATTTGCTTGGAGTTAGTCAATATGTGAGAGAGATGGTTGTTGGCAAGGGGTGGCATTCATTTTCTTTCCACAACACACAAACTACAGAAACTTGAGAAGAGATAAAACAAAGATTGAAGAAAATAAATTATTTTTATTATCAAAAACTTACATACATTATGTATACATACATTTGTGTAGATCACCATTATTGCAAAAACTGATTGAGTATTTTTAGCATAAAAAATAAATATTACAATATATGTATAGTATATAAAAAAACTTGTATTAAAACCGATATTTGAGCATACAACCCTGAGTTTGTTTCTAATATATATAAAATTTTATAAAGCTTCTAAAACAAATGGTTTTTTTTTAACAAGAATGGATTTCTAAAAAGAGACATGTAAAAGATTACATATAGTAATATGATTAACTAGATGATTCTAGTTTTTAAAAATGACTACAATATAAAAAGCAACTTGATGGAATGTGATAGAAGATAAATTATGTTATAAAATAAAAATATAACCCACATGGTTTCCATGTTTAAAATGAAAACACGCATGAAGCAAAAATTAAGTGAATGGAATGTTGCACTAAAGTAACAAAATATAGATAAAATATATACAGGTATCATGGTTTGATTAACAACCGTACATGCTTAATTTTTCAATGTAAGAATACACAGCACCAAAACTATAGTAAAAATGCAGTGTACTACTTTCTTTATAAAACTTGTGTCTTTATAGGGGAATCTGATGGAATGCATAGCACCATATAACAGTTAGCACCAAAACTATAGTAAAAATGTAGTGTACTACTCTCTTTATAAAACTTGTCTTTAAAGGGGAATCTGGCGGAATGCATAGCACCATAAAACAGTTAGCACCAAAACTATAGTATAAGCACTACTTTTTTTTTTATAAAACTTGTCTTTATAGAGTATATTTTCCTCTCTTAAACTATCATTGTAAATGAATATAGTAAATATATATAACAGCATGTTATCAGGAGTACAACTATCATGATTTGAAATATGAACTTTAATGATTATCACAATTATTTAGCACCAACTTTAAAACAATTAACATTTAATAAATTATCACAACTATATTGCTTAATAACAAGAAAAACAAAGACTATATACATGTTTTATATTACAGTATAAACATTTCATATACTACTAAGGTCTGTCTAATGTTCCCCATCAACCTCTATAGCATTTTTGATATTTTTACATTATTTTTAAGACCAAATAAACGTTATCTTTTAATCTGATAGATCATATCAGATAATTCCTCTGATGTAAAGCTTCATAAATATTTTGATTTTCTTCCTTTAGAAGTTATCATACTGTGTAATTACTAAACATTTTTAATTACAATCAAGCCTCAAGCTAAATAACTGTTGATAGATAAACATGTATAACAATCTTTAAATGTAGAGTATAGGAAATTGTCTTAATTGCAATCAAGTTTCAAAACTGATTAACTGTTAATGGAGAACATCAGACAGATAAACATATATTACTTCTAATTTGAGTTAAACTTCTTCTTAACATAACAAAACAGACTTGTGTAAACATATACAAAACTTCTAGATATGTATAATATAAACAACACCCTTTGAAGTAACATCATTTCAAAAATCTGACTTATTCCCTATTTTCATCATAAAAAAAAAAAAAAAATTTAAAAAGAGAAATTAAGCGAAAAATGTATCAATTTATCTATAATTTATAATCATGTCAAACACAGGATGTTGAGTCTTTCTTATGTATAGAAAATTATCACTCTCCTTTGTTAAAACCTTCAATAATAAAAAAAAAAAAGCCCCCTCAATAAACTTCTTAAGATAATATAGCATAGAAATGCTAATATCTCCTTTGTCATCACAATGGATGCTTAGTCATATATAAATTAATCCTAAAATGGCATCTCAGTTAAGTCTAAATGAATTAAATTTATCAACCCAACTTTATTTAATGAATCTTATCATAACCAAGAGAGAAGAATAAGTCCTTTAATATTTAGGAAAAATGTTATACTTTCATTCTATTTAGAAAACTTTATGATGGATCATCGTGCTTCAATCAGTAACTTTCTTTCTCAATTGACTAATTTTGTATCTCAACATATACCAGTAGTGGGAAGTCATTTTTTCCCATGTTATAAGTGTTCAATACAACCTGAGTTGTTTGAAGAAATAAAGAATTGGTATTGTCACCAACCCATCAACACATTCAGTAGCATGCAATTTAATGTTTCTGCACTATATCATGCTTTGTTGCATGAAAGCAGGGAAACTAGGATAGGATGTCTCATACGAATGAGCGAGACATTTTTGGGAGAACTGATGCAGCAGTGCAATACAGCTAATAGTGTGCAAAGCCGAGACATGCTGCAGATAGGATTAGATATCTTAAAGGACAGGTAAGAAATACTTTAAACATTTTTGTATATAATGTTACTTAATGAAGCAATATGATTCATAAAGCTAGTCTTACAATGGTATTATTCATAGTTTTATAATTAAGGTGGTATCCAACACCTTAACTAAAATTAATTTGGTTCGTTGAGTTTTCATAAAATTTTAACAAAGTATTTATTTTGAACCTTTGATAAAAGTTTCAAAATATTTGAACCAACCATTTCATCATAAAAATTACACTGGGTATATAACAGTTTAACAAACACTAATTTCAACCATTGAGAAGCTTATTACAATGCCCTTAAATACATATCATAATTAAAACGTTTAGCTGATTTTACAGAGTTATCCCCCTGTAGTGTTAGGTACATCTTAATTACACAAACAGTTATATAGAAGTTTGGTTTGAAAACAAACAAAAAACATAATACACAAATTAATCACAAATTAAGTCTGTTGGGTGGTATGGACTGTCTGGTGCTTCTTCTTAAAATGAGTGGAGGTGCTGGTAAGGGTAGGATGACTTCCTGGTGTACTGCAGGTGGTATAGGTTGGACTGCTGCTTGGTGTAGTGGTTGATGTTGAGGAGGGTTAATAAGCTGTCTTACAGGGGGGATGAAGTTTCTAATAGCTGGTATAGCATTTAACAAAAGTCTATGGATACGGTTTAAAACCACTAATAAACTAATCATGGTAAAGATTAGAACTTGAAATTACTCTACAAGAAGAAAATAAAAAAAAAAATACAAATTTTATAAATTGTCACTACTTAAATTGTACCAGGCTTTATTATAGAGTTCATCTTCCGAGTTTGAAATATTTTGAGAATGTCTTTTCCTCCAAACAATAAATCCACCTATTAGAAAGAATATCACTGTAAGTAAAAAAGAAAAAGAGTTAAAAGCAGTGATATTGAAATTACAATTTAAATTAATAATTATTTCTTTTATCCTAATAGTACTTATATTTAGGGGCAGTAGGAATCTCTTGTAGAGGAAGACCATGCTCAATTAACCCTCCCCTACTATTCCTCAAACATTTCTTCCCCAAACAAATGAGAGCTATCACCAGAAGTACTACAAGAAAAGAAATAATTTAACTAGTTATGGTATCCATTTCAACATATAAAGAATCATCGTTCTTAACTGGAATGTAGTCTGATTGATAGTAATACTTTTTTAATAAGAACACCAAAATTAAGGCAATTTAAAGAAACAAAATTACTCCAAGAAAAATTATATAAACTTTTAAGCTACCTGTTAAAGTGGTGACGGTTGCTACTATCCATGGTGTTGCTGAGTTCGTCTCATTTTCTGTAGTAGTCTAAAATAAAAAATTAGATAATAAACTACATGTACACTAATAAAATAACATAACCTAATCCACACCCTACTACATGTTACAATCAATACACATTTAGCTTTAGCTGAATTTAAAGCATGAGAAATTTATAAGTATAAATGTCTAAAATAGTGAAAATAAGTACTTTCAAAATTGTTTACGTTAATTTTAACAGCAGTGTTTTCATGTTTTTTAGAATACATCACCACAATGCAATGGTTATGTTTAAGTAGGGATTCTCTTTGCCCTATAGGTGAAAACCCACCTGTTGATGGTCAGGGAGAGTGCTGGACATTTGGCTGTGCTCGTACACTACTGATGTTGGAGCGCTTTGAGACCGTTCTGTCGAGGAGTCAGGAGAACCCCCCCTCCGTATGAGGAGAGGTCTCAACCGCACCAGTAGTGGAAACAAGGTCTTCCAGTGACTGTAAACAAAAACAATAATATTTATAGACAGTTATCAAATTTAATATTTATAGTTTTTAACACAAATCTGTTTAATAGAAATACAATTAAAATTATGCTAACAAATATTTCTTTTCTTATATTGTTATACTTTCAAAAGAAAATAAAGGGAATTTGTCTTTCATAAAGTAGGTGTCAATTTTTTGTAAACAATAAAAATGGCGGATGTTGAAAACAAGTTACGTTATAGCATCTTACACAAACTTTATCCGCTATCTGCACTTCCGTGCTAGGGGTTGCTGAAATGGCCTGGCAACAATTGTCGATGGTACATGTTTTGATGGCTACTTTTTCTAACTGCTGGCCAAAAGTCATTAACGTACTGGAACCCGCCAGTCTGTCCAGGGTGATCTTCTTCACTGAAGTCGGCCCATTGAAAATGTAGCTGCCTTTCCCCTCATACAGGCACTGCAGCTCCACTACCTCATAGCTTTCATCAACCACACTTCTGCATTTCCTTATATTAAGGTCATGCACTTGGCCATTACTTACAACTATTCTCAACAACAACAAACACTTAGCGGGCACCATTTTTGATTTTTCAGTTTTTTCTCTGTGAATCGTCTGCGCATGTGCACATAATCAACAGTTTAATTAAAAATAAAAAGGCGGGAGATTATGATTGTGTCAACAAAAAAAAAAAAAAAGAACAATACGAAAAAGAATAAATATGAAAGAATTGAGATGTTGCTATATGATCTTCAACAATAGTATAACTCGAAAAAAGGGGGAACGGAAACACATATAATAAGAAAATGTTAGGTACGAGACAATGACACTAAAAAAAAAAATTTCAGAAAAAAATCGAACGTTTTGGGGTTTTTTTTACAATGTAGCTGCTTTAGATAAAGATTTTAAGTTAAGAAACCCACAAATAAAGCAGATGACATATTATCACAGTATAGTTTCTAGAGATTCATCAACACGTTGTTTTGTTGTTAAGCGCATTTTTGTTTGCGCACCACATAAACAATTTGGTATAGAGTTGTTATGCGAAACCTAAGAATGGGGTGTTTATCCCTCCATTAGTCCCACCCCATACTTCAAAGTGTAATATTATTGGTTTAGATAATATTAGCTAGAAAAATGAAATAAGTATAATAGTGCGTATTTTTCGTTTTCAAGTCAGTACTTCTAACCTTTGTCTAGAAATCTATTTACGATTAAGTGTCGAAAATGTTCAATTTAGTCAAATTGTTACTTCCACTGGTAGAACGGAATACAAAACTCAATTCGGGAGAGGGAAAGTGCTTACCTATCAAAAGTCCACTAGAGGACTCTTTTATTTAGACTTGGCTGCGTCAAATGGATCTATGAAGCTGAATTTAGGGCTGGACGAGCTGGATGATCTGTTTACACTGAGGGGGCACCTAGAGTCCCTAACGGCATACTTTCCACAGGTAAGACTATTTTCTTTCTTTTTGTTTTTACACGAGGTTCACATGTAGGAGTTTTCTTTAAAAACCGAGGAAATTAAAGATTATACCCTTTGAGGTGTTTTTTTTTTTTCTCTGTTTGTATGCGCTTACCGTAAACAACAGGAAGGTTTTAAGTATTGTCTATTACCGTTTATCTTTCTGTTTATCTATCTACCTCGCTTATGTTAGGGGATATATCGGTGTTCACATTTGCCTTTTATTTTAACTAATTTAATGCAACAATTGAATAACATAAAACGAAGATGTGGTATGATTGTTAATAAGATAACTCTTCACAAGAGACCAAATGATACAGAAATTGTCAACTTTTGGTCACCTTGCGACCATCAATAATAAGCAAAACCCATACCTCATAGTCAGCTATAAATAGCTTCAAAATGATGAATGTAAAACAAACATCCGAGGGGAGAAAAAAGATAACAACCTAATTTATGTACAAAATAATGAACGAAAAACAATATGCACACCACCAACACCTCTCGCAAGTATAAAACTTTCTTCATAACATTTGAGTTTGAGTTTTATTTTATTGTTCATGTTTTAGCCGCTCTCCCAGCCACATGAGCAGGTTGTGCCTAAAGAAAATGTAGCGCCGGTTTATGCACCGCCACCACCACCAACACCTTCCGTAAGTATACATTTATTAATGTAGAGTTTAAATATGTTCAAGAATCATGATTGATTGTTAGTTGCTTAACGTCCAGTGGCAAATATTTCATACATGTTCAGGGTGAGAACAAGTTAACAATACATACAATAGGTAAGACTTGCAATAGAGGGTGGGTTTTTTTTTTTTCTTCTCAAGAATCACCATGTATTCTTAACTTGTTCTCACCCTGAACATGTATGAAATATTTGCCACTGGACGTTAAGCAACCACCACCAACACCTTCCGTAAGTATACATTTATTAATGTAGAGTTTAAATATGTTCAAGAATCATGATTGATTGTTGGTTGCTTAACGTCCAGTGGCAAATATTTCATACATGTTCAGGGTGAGAACAAGTTAACAATACATACAATAGGTAAGTCTTGCAATAGAGGGTGGGTTTTTTTTTTTGTTCTTCTCAAGAATCACCATGTATTCTTAACTTGATACACTTAAATGCGAACAAAGCAATACTTGTTTTTTTAAGTATAGAATTGAACTTGCAAACAACCTTTTGTTCTTAAAAAAAAAGATAAGCAACACTGAAAGTATTTCATTTCTCTCTTGTTTATTTATTTAAATATTTCATTTTTATTATTGCAGGCACCTCTAACAATAATATATGAAAACGAGACGTCAACTACCACTCCACTTCAAACTATAACAGACCCGATGTGGAGCAAAGGAAATATGATTCCGGTGAGGGTGGCCGCAAAGAGACCGATACGTGAAGAATTACACCCACAGTGGTCTGGGAAGAATACAAAATATGAACAGATTTCCCCTGTGAAAAACAATTTATATGATCTCTCTGAGGAGGAAATGGGAGCCTTTTTCCAATCGATGTGATGATGCTCAATGTGGTGTGACTTTCATTCAATGTGGTGTTTATAGGAATAACATTTATAAATTTCATTACGGACATATATGCAAACAGACTGACACGGTTAGTTTTTTTTTTAAATATTTAATAAATACTATCACTAATATGTGTCTATCTTATAATGTCCATAGGCATAGCTTTTAATTGGGTTCTTCCAGTAACGTTTATCATCAAAACTACACAGTCCTTTTTTCGCAACGGTATCCATGAAAAGTTCATGATTTTTACTTCTAATGCACGTCATTGAATTGGTGGTCGTAGTTTCTTCATTCAAACATTTCTTATACATTTCATGTCGGAGAGTCTGTTTTATTTCAGTTTTTGAAATGCCTTTCGCCACTTTTTTTTCCTTTTCGCATGTGATACCTTCTGTAGAGGTCTGGTTATACAAAAGGCTTTACATTTTAGGTCTCAAGCCAACGAATTCTTTTAAAGGAACACCTGAAAAGATTTTTTGAGGCACATGAGAAAGACAATATTTAATAATAATTTAACAGAAAATTCAAAGAAAAAAGGAAAATTTAAAAGAAAATTCAAAAGAAAAAGGAAAATTTAACAGAAAATTCACATGAAAAAGGAAAATTTAACAGAAATTTCACAAGAAAAAGGAAAATTTAACAGAAAATTCAAAGAAAAAGGAAAATTTAAAAGAAAATTCAAAAGAAAAAGGAAAATTTAAAAGAAAATTCAAAAGAAAAAGGAAAATTTTACAGAAAATTCAAAAGAAAAAGGAAAATTTAAAAGAAAATTCACATGAAAAAGGAAAATTTGAAAGAAAATTTATGTTAAACTTTAGAGAGAGAGAAAAAAAAATGTTTGTTTGAAAGAACTCACCACCAAGCTCATCTTTAAATTTCCCAACGACTTTCTTATATTTGCTGGAAAAGAGATGTTTCGTTTTGTTGAATGAGCCGTAGTTGAAGGTATCGAATAGGTCTTTGATAGGTTTCATGTCCTCATATACATCATCAGTCAGAATCTCATAACACAACGAATCTAAAATGAATTCAGAAATGTTAGCATAATACCAAAGAGGAATCTCTTCCTTTATTCTACTTATACAAAGGAGAAAACAATGAGAAATATTAGAAATTTAAAGAAACAATGGCTTTTATTTTAACAAAAAAAAAAAAAAAATATCATACCTGTATCTGTAAACAGCAAGTTGATCTTGTCACCGTACTGAGGCTTCATCACCTTGTAATGAAATTCATACATCAGTCTCTTTGAAAGGTCTAAAATAGCTTGTCCGGCATAGATGGGTTTATTGAGAGTTAGGTTGATCTGTTGGTTGTGTACTCCAACGAGGTCTTCATTGAAAATTTGGCAGCATAGAAACGACGGCTGAGCTACTAACTTTTTAAGTTTTTCTTCCAAGGCTGAATTGATTAGTCTTAGATTCATCCTAGCACGCAAATTTTCCATACATTTACCAAAAACACTGAAAAAGTAGGAATACTTTTAGATAAGTACTAGAAGCTGACACAAAAACCACAAAACATAATTAAATCAATGTGGGTAATGCGACAATGAGGCAACAAGCAAACTCGAGATCCTGACAACACTTTAAAATCTTACACATTTAAAAATAACATAGATATAGGAAGATGTGGTGTGAGTGCCAATGAGACAACTCTCCATTCAAATAACAATTTAAATAAAAAGTAAACCATAATAGGTCAATGTACGGCCTTCAACACGGAGCCTTGGCTCACACCGAACAACAAGCTATAAAGAGCCCCAAAAGTGTAAAACCATTCAAACGGGAAAACCAACGGTCTAATCTATATAAAAAAAAAAAACGAGAAACATACCTATTACACATCAGTTTGAAAAAGTCCTTCTCAAAGTCGTTGTTTGCCTGTTTTCTCATGTTGGTGTTGAATTCTATGTAGGTTTTAAGCCATGCCTTTTGTTGAAATCCTAATACTCTATGTATTTTAGTTATTTTCATTCCAAGTTCTGTATAAAGTTGTAAATTTTGATAATGCACCACATAGTTTGTCTTTTTCTTCAGAGTTGGAATTAATTTTCGGGTTTTAATCCTAGGTTTCACTTTTTCCACACCATTTGCATTCTTCACAGAATTTAACTTTCCCCATAAATCAGTACTGTATTTCGATAGATCTTTGTCTTCAATGAGTAGATGTTCGGGTGCCAGAGGATAATCGTTATGTTTGTTGTGGAGATGTTCAGGATATTCTATGTCTACTTCTAAAATGTAGCCTTCTTTTGCGTCTGACTGGACTTTCTGTAACTCAAAATGACTAATTTCATCTTCATTTAAAAAATGGAAAAAACCATAAGGCAATGGTTGAGACATTGCCCAACCGTACAAATTGTTAGCATCTAGATACATGATGTGTTTTTTCACATCTGATTCATTAAAGTCGTCAACATATTGATGATTAGCTCGACTGTATTTTTTGGTAACCATACTGACCCCACCTCGTGTTCCAAGCTCTATCATGTTGTACATGAGGGGATCAGTAATTTAATCCAGGCTGACACCGCTCATTTTCAATGCTGCTTGCCATGCTAAACCTGGACTCGTGAAAAAGTGACTAGCATCCAACTTGTAATATTCAAGAGTCATGTCACGGAATCGTTCGAAAACATCTGCTAAGAGTAGCGTATCTGTTAATACATACAAATTGTGAAAATCCCCTAAGGTTTTCATATTGAACGTGTTCCAGACCTTTTGAGCGTGTTCATACTTTTCATCAGAAATAGCTTCTTTGGTTAAGGAATTATAAAAAGCTGCTTTTGAAGGGAGAGCTGTCCCTTCAAATCTTTCAGAACAATTCACATAATCATAACAGTATTCGTTTTTCTGTAGCAAAAGTTTAGCGTGTTCGTCATTGGGGAAAGCTTTTCGAAATTGTTTGAAATTTTAAAAACCGTCTGCCGCTAAATTAGCAATTAACGTCTCCAAAGAGCTACTCATGCACTGGTATGTGTCTAAAAACCTCAGTTGTCCAACAGAAAAGGACACATATTTCTCCATATTGTTTGGTATACATGTTAATTTTTTGTCCTTGAATTTACCAGCTTCCGACAGCAAAAGGTGTGCATCAAAGTTCCGCAAATTATGAAAATAGACCGGAATGAAATTTGGATTTTTCAACATCGAGTTGCATCTCTGACAGGCTGCCCCTCTGTAATTGCTATACTTTGGTGATTCGTTATCTTCGTTTATACCTAAATGGTCGTGGTCACGAACTTTGATTATTTTGCCTGAAAATGGTTGATTGCATACATAACAGTTTGTAGCATTTTGAAATTGCGTTTCGGTTTCCACACTCATAATTAACTCCTCATAAATGTTCCTCAATATATCATCTATGTATTCTTCCTCTGTAAATATATTTTCAAAAAAGTGTTCGACTGCGTTCTCTCCTCTGTACACAACGGCTGGCTTGGAATATCTATCATTTGAACTGACCACAACGTAGGAGTAACCACATGGAACAAATTTTGTTTTATGTGTTGTTGACGATTGATTTGGGTCTGGTTGACAAGTATCCATCTTTTTTGCAAAGCATTCAAAGTCTGCATAGATGACAAAAGGAACACGCATTTGTTTATGAAAGTCTCTAAATTCTAAAATGGCTTCTCCTTCTTTTGGATAAGTCACTTTTTGAAAATCAAACTTATTACAATATAGTCTGTGTTCATTTAATAAGTCTTGTCTTATGAATCCGTAAAGTCATCTTCTACAGTAAAACCGTTTGGTGTGAAATTTAGTCATTGATCCAAGGAAACTATCTAAATTTTTGATCCAACAGTAGTGAGTTTCCCCGTTCTGTGATAAATACAATAAATCGATCTCCCTATCTACATTTTCTAACTTTGTTAAATATAGTGGAAACACTTCTTCGTTTTCAAAGCCAAAAACATTGATTGAAATATTGTTTTGTTTCTCAAATTTCTCCATTTTTGTTAAAGACACAGGATATTCAATATCGTTCATGTTCAATTCATTTTCGTGTGCCGTATAATGTGACTTCCGATATGGATTATATTCCATCGGATGTAGGGCTGCCAGTACAGACCATAGGAAACACTTTTGGTCATCATTTCTAATGTTGATAATTCCACCAGTGGCCTTTATTTTGTATGGTAATTCCATATAATTTGAACCAGCTATGGGTGAGTATGGTAAAGTATGTACTTCGAGGCATATAACTTTATTCAATATCCAGTTAGATCCCTTGTTGATAAATTTTTCCATTACTCTGTTAATCGTTTGGAAAGCTTCATTTAAATTATGATCATTACTCTCATTCTGAAGAGATATGTAACTTTTGCTGCGGAAATGTGGGTGAGCCTTTTCTTGTTGTCCATCATCAATATCTCGAACCATCTCCACTCGAGCATTTACATACCATTTGACATTTTTTTGTTTCTTTTGCTGAGATACTATTATTTCTTCAACATCAGTTTTCGTATTAGCCAAAAAACGTAATAAATCATATTTTTCACTACTAATAGGCAAAAGGTCTACACGATTCACTGATTTGTTAATGGCGCTTTTCTTAAAACGAAACCGTTTACGTTTTATCTGACTGACAACTGGCTCCTCCGTTTTAGGCATTCTACCTCCTGTTTGGTTTAACGGATGATGGTTGGCAACATGGGTGAATAAAGAATCAACATCATCAAAGGAGACATCACAGCGTCTACATGTACGTTGCTTAGATAATTGTTTATCTCGTTTGTTTATTGTGCGCTGTCCAGAACACTTATTACCATGTTTGACTAAATTATGTTTTTGCGTAAACGATTTCCCACACGCTAAACACTGAATTCTGTTAAAATGTGAATTCATATGTCTGTTCAAATTTCTGTTGTATTTGAAAGTTTTATCACAAATATCACAATTTTACTTTGGTCTTTTGACATCAACATTTTCAGCACATGATTTCTTACGTTTGAGTTTATTCTCAACCTCTATGGCTGCCTTCACCAACATACCATCATCAGATTCGTCAAAATGTAAATCATTGGTATGAACACCGCGGTGAGCCATGCTTTTCACTTTACACAAAATGATAACAACTACCTAATTTCCTCAATTTAAATACACGTGACGATGTCACATGACATCTAAATTCGAAACGATAACCATTTCATCTTTGGTTTTTGTTTACTTTTCTCTTGCAGCATTGTTTTAAGGGGCATAGCGATATATGGTTTACTTTCCTCGTGTTGTGTAATTTTTCTCTTTTTGTTTGACTTCTTCAATTTTTCAGGTTGAAAGTCCTCTACTAACTGTTTACTTTCCAAGTCATCGATATTTTCTGGTTTATCTTTCGGCTGATCTTGATCTCGATTTTCTCTTTTTTCCGGCAATGTCTCTGGAATTTTTAATTGTTCATACCTCAGTTTAGGAATCAGAATCAGTTCGCGAGACATAACGGAGATAAGTCTTTAGGAAAATAGGAAGCAGTCCTCTTATTTTTAATAAATATAATTTTCTCTGTTTATATGTTGCCCCTTTGGAAACAATTTTACGTATGAGCTTCTTTTTCTTGGCCAGCAAAGTTTTATCAACACTTGAAATGGAGCAAACTCCTTGCATCACATTGTATATTATTTCAACCAACCATTCCAACTGTTCCTTGCTTAGTGATTTAATCGCTTGAGAAATTTGTTTTGCAGTAGCATTCAAAAGAAAATGTGCTAAATAGTCCTTCATTCTGCAGAGTGATATACGATAGGTGTCTGTCCAACTCCACGATCTGTTGTCAACCGATATGTTTTGTCTGTATGTGGATTTAAATCAATAATTAATGGGCGATAGGCTACAGATGTCGCCTTCTTGTATGCATCTAAAAAGTATTCAGACTGTCCGGGAAAAATCTGCCTACCAAGAGTTTGAATTTGTAACTGATCTCTATAATTCCGAAATAAAACAAAGTAATGGCAATTGAGGGAGGCTGTTCTCATGGCTTTGCCTTTACAATACAAGTTATGTAGAATCTGAATCAAAGTGATTGAATTATGGTGAATTCCTACAGTTAAGAGATGAACTAGTTCTTTACTATCTGCAGATTCCACCATCAGGTCATCTAAAACAAGAACCTTATGCCCTTGTAAAGTCCCCCATTCTGATAAAACATCTGGGGGAAACCTTGAAAAAATTCAATGTTTGGTATTGCTGATTTCATTTCATCGAAAACTGACTGCCAAATACTGTAACAGTAAAATATCTTCGACGGTGGTACTTGAAACATACCATCTGCATTTTCAAGAAGGTTTTTGGTGTACATTGTTTTTCCTGAATTTGACGGACCAACAATGAATATTGATGTTGGACTCTGAAATTTGAGCAAACTTTCCTTCTCCCACCAGTCAACCATACTGTTCAAGTGAAATAATAAAAATAGCTGAGAGACAAACTGTTTTATATGTAAAATAAAAAAGGCAACAACAAAAACAATAACATATAAGCATTAATTCTTTATTTTGATACAAGATTGATTCACAACATTACACACATTGTTCACACAGCAATGAAACCGATTGTCTATAAAACTGTACACAAAATTGTCATTCAATTGATATTCTTCTGAAAACACATCTGTTATCTGTTGCATGGTAAATCCTTCCACACGACACATTAAATAAAAGAAACAATATTGCCCACACACAACTGTGTCATCACCTTGTAGTCTTTTCTCGTTTGATTGTATGTATGCATTATTCCGCATGAATTTGTTAAAATAAACAGTGAGTTCTTTTTCTGAATACCCAAAAGAGTCAAATACTTCAAGACTGTTCTTTCTATTACAGAAAAATGCTACCCAATGTCTTCCTGGTAAGCCTGCGACATCTGTATTGGCTATCACACCCATTCCTGGTAGTAGGTGAACTTGAGACAGTTCATCAGATGAGAATACACCAAGAACAGATCGTTGTAAGTCAACGTCTGAAACAATGGCACACTTGAGCTGGTAAGTATTCATTCTAAAATGATGTTTCTTTCTAAATTTATTTCAAAATAAGCTGGAAACTCCGCATACACAACAGACGTGGACGCTTTCGGCAGTGGTGCATTGAAATTGACTTCTAGAGAACAAGTTCCTTGTTTCACTAAGTTTAAGTACTGTTCCTCGTCGCTGAAATTTGGTTCTATTTCAAAACAATATAAAGCATTTCCTCCTGCTATATCATTTCTACTCAACTGATTTCCACTGTCTCTCGTCCACTTGTTAGTCACTTCAAACATACTATTAAAAGCAGGTAGTATAGTTCGACTCGTGGCTCCATAGTTTAACTGCATAATATTCCCACCTACAGGAACTTGGTTCAGTTTGAGCGTTATTTGACTAAGGTTGAAATGTTGAAAGTTAAATGGATTTAACGTATATGAACCACTAGAACTAGCGGACTCTGTAAAAGCTATAACGCAACGAGTCGGTCGGAGTCCGTTGAACAAATTATTGTAATTGAAACTAAGCTCCCAGCAGGTATAGAAATAAGGCGCACTTCTGTTCTGGTATAGGGATATCTAGCATTTGTTGTTTGTAGTTTCTGCGCATGTGCCATAATGACAGCAGGGTTTAAACGTATTTTGCACACTTTTAACACTATGTCATCGATGATGACTTGAAAATTTGGATCTTTTTCACTTGTCATCAAAGCAAACTCAGGTCTTGAACGGTAAAGTTTAACATTAATAGCTACTTGATTCAGCATGTATCTGTCCAGACTACATAAATCATGAAATAACGGACCTTCTAAATCACACACTTGACTTTGAGTAAAATACTGTGCGCGATCGAATAAGGAAGAATTGCCACCATTTTCTACATTACTATCATCAAAATGTCCTGGTTGATCTTTTTTCCATAACTGGCTAGTCAGCTGAGATTTTTTTGCTTCAGATCCAAAAGATAAAAGAGTTTGTATCATTGCCTTGTATGGATAATGTGTGGTAGTTGATGTCACCAACTTATTTTGTAATGTTATATCAATCTGTGAGAACATAGAATGTAGAAAATTGTTAACTGGACCAACATACTCAGTAGGTTTTAGTCTGTCTCCATTGATATGTTTTATTCTCGCTTTTACATATCATTTTGTTTTTCTCAAATCTATATACTCCAGTAAATTTTGGGCTGCAATGTTAAATTCTACTGGTGCAGTTCCAGTTAGCTGTGCTGTTGACCTATGCTCATCATAATACACTGAATCAATCGCTGTCTGTGTTGTTGGTAATGAAAACAGATCCAAACCACTTGGTTGAGCTTCTTGGAACCCATCTAACGATAAAGCAGCCATTTACTTGAATATGTCTTTGAAGGTTTTCACAGAGCTTTGCAGTTTTTTCTTGTTGGTTTTTTTCTTCGTGTGTCTCTTCTTGTTTGATGCTTTGGTTGTCTTTCTTGACTATTTGTGCTTAGTCAACTTTTTGGTGGTTTTACTGGGCTTTTTGGAGGTCTCGTTCGTTCGACGTCTTTTGGAAGAACTTGCATCATAACTAGATGGCTTTCTTTTTAATGTCTTTTTCTCTCTTTCAACCATGTCCTTGGCCATTTCATCCGTTTGATGGACGGGGGAGACAAGTTGAATTCTTACTTTCTCATCAGAAGGGGTTTTGGTTGGTATGCCGATTGGTGTAATGGATGACCTTGAGGTTCCAGTTAGAGACCCACCTCCGATTTGTTTTTGACCTTTGTTAGTATTGTGATGACCTTTTCTGTCTAGCTTCTCATAATAATTAATCCAGCTTCCTACATTTTGACATACATCTTGTTCATTTTTAAAAGAATGGAAACGATTTGAAGCGTAGTGTTACCGTTGCAGGAATATCTAAAAATGAAGCAAGATTGTTGTCACCATCAGTTATATAGATATCAATATTATAGAGGTCATTTATTTTTACAGGAACATAATGCGGAACTTCGAAAATGTTTGACCAGTTTCCCATAGAGGCTGCACTTAACCTTCGAAGAAGTGGCTTTTGTTCTCCATCGACAATAGATTCACCACAAATATTAGAATACAGATAAATGGATTCTGATTTAGATATGCTACTTGAAATTTCTGCTTCAACTAAGGCAACTCTCCAATTTCCATTTAAAAACACAGGTGAATTCAGTTGAGAAGAAAAAGTATATGCTTTGTTGTTTGGAAAATAGTTCAGAGATTTTTCACTATTGAATGTTATGTAGATGCTCATCTTCAGGAGTCATTTGGATCTGTGATATCCTCTTCATTCAACCACTGATTATATTTATTTTGCCACCCTTCAAACTTAACTAACCACTGAACCCGTCCATTTCTCTTACGTTTTCGAATTTTTTTTTCTACATACCACATAACATCTTCATCCTTGTTCACTTTAACCATCTCTGATTCATAAAATAATCCTTTTATGGAAGTTCCATCATACTCCTTTATTCTATAAACCGGTATAGCCTGCATTCGAAATCTTTGGCTAACTTTAAAAAAAAATTTTGTGAATTGTTCATCATATGAACGGTCAAATAGCTTAGAAATGTAAGAAATACGAACGAAGTCATTAGCCTTAAAGTGGTATGATCGAGGCTTTTTTTATGTTATTTTCTTTGGTTTTAAATACATATATGCCCATATATCTGCTTCGTTTGTTTTGCTGACGTCTTTTGGTTGGATATTGTTCAAGCTTCTATGTGGAGTAGAATTGTATACTTTAACAATATCTTGAAGTACATCCAAGTACCTATGATTTCTCCTCTCTGTGAAGTATCGATACATCATATTTTTCACAGTCTTGATAACTCTTTCAGCGTAGTTAGCCTTTGTTTCTGAATTCTGTGTGGTGAAATATTGTATACCTTCATTTTTCAGATATGATTTCATTATGTTGTTGTTAAATTCTTTTCCTTTATCAGTTCGAATCTTTTTACATTTTCTGTTACCAGCTAAAATTTTCTTCATTGCCTCGACTACAACTTTTGCTGATTTATTTTTCAGAACCTGAATCCACAGATACTTTGAAAAGATATCCACGACGACTAATAGGTATCGAAACTGACCGTTTTCACTTGCAATGTTTGACATATCAGCGAGGTCCATGTCCCACTGATCATCAATTCCAGATACAATTACACGTGCACGACGAAAAGAATGACGGAGTTCCTTTCTTAAAGTGTAACTGTCTTGACTTCGTAATAGTCTTTTTATCCTGGATCGTCCAACATTAGTGATTCCTTTGGATTTTAATATTCTGTATATTTTTTCGGGACCTACATGTGTGTTTTTATATGTGTTTGATATTAAATCATTTATTCTATCTTGTGTGTTCATCTTGGATTTTTTTTTCATTCTATGAAAGGTAAGACCTGTTCCCTTTGTATTTAAGGCTGATAGTCTTGGTTTGGTATCTCTACTGAAGTAAAGTTTTGAAAGCGAGAAGGAATTTAAATTTTACTGATACTTTCTTCAATTGAGATACCTAACCAATATGCACTTTGTGAAAATATAATAAAGAGACAAAAAACAAAATACAAGGAACTAACTTTTATTGAAATATCATTAGAAACAGTTCAAGCATCTCATTGTTCGTCTAGTAAATGCAACAGAGGCTTAATCAGGAGTGGTATTAATTTGTGATACACTAACAGTACTCGTCTTTTCCTGCTTACACTAATTCTCCCACTGGCTAAAAACTGAATAGTTTTCCGAAACTCTCGAAGTTTTCGTCTATGTACTATACTAATCATAAGTGTTGCATGATAAATTTTATACGCAATGTGTGAAATGGTTCGAATTTGATCATCGGAACTCTCCTCAATCAATTCTTTTCTTCTTCGGGGTCTATCATAGTAAAGTTCTTTCAGGAAGGTTGAGTTTTCAAAAATACGTCTGTTCATGATGAGTGTTTCACATCAAATGATAACCAATGTTAATGATCGGTGTGTTTTAAATTAATTTAATTCGTTTGTGAATCTTTCTTCCAACAACACCAATCGTTTGCACCAGTGTGACACAGTTTTGGTACTTGGTTTATGTAGAATGCACCAATCCTTTAATGTAGATAAAACGTCATTTTTATAGTCATCTGGTACATCCATGAGCTTCACTTGATTGGACATCTTCCTAACCATGTCCTTCTCCGCTATCTGTTTATAAGCAATATCGAAATAAGTTTCTAAATGTTCCATTTTTGTCCACATTAAACAAGTGTGTTGAATCTGACTCGGGTGGTTTACTTCACACCCATAACAATGTTCTTTCACAATATCCGGTAAACAGTCTAAGACCATCCTAGCATACAAATATTTAAGTGTGTGATGCATAAGTTTCTCGGCTTTTTCAAATGTTGCATCCATAGTGTCTTCTCTCTACAACAATCAATCTGTAAATGAACGGAATTCGAGGATCTTCTTATAGTGTATCTCAGTCATTACGTAACATTCTTATTTCATAAGTATGTTGGACAAGGTTTTACTAGATACCATCTTTGCAAACAAACAATTTGGATCCCATTTTATATGTTCTGTTTCGATATCGTCTTCTTTAGTCCACTTTTTTAGAGTAATGTCACAATAAAAACATGTCACTCTATCTCCTATATTGGTGTAAAAAAACCATTATGAGCTAGATCTTCTGGCTTTTGTTTAATCTGATCCGGCCAATTTGTATATGTTTGCATTCTATTTGTGAAATACATCATATTCAGATGGGCTGGTTTGAAACGGAGGATGTCTGAAAAGTAACATCCCGAGTCTGTTTCTAAATCCATGATTAATCAGTAAAGACTAACATTTACTTATATACCACCACCACCTGAAGTCTCTACAATTTGTATAATTACATCGTACTTCCAGTCTTCAACCTTTAATTCAACTATGTCATAAAGCTGCTTTAATTCTATGAATCTACTCAAACCATACTTAAATAATAAGATATATATCTGCTCCTTTTTTGTTGATAACAAAACCTGGTAATGTAACCTCAGAATTTTCATTTTAAAATTATTAACAACATATATCGTCAAAAATAAATATAGTAACGTAAAAAAAAAAATGGATGCCGCTCACTTAAATAACAATTTAGACAAGCAAGGCAACCCAAAATTCTACAACGTGGACAACATGGACGTCATCTCAAACGTACCCTGGTTACCAACCAATGTTGCTCTACCTTGAAAAAGTCAGCAACGTGGAAACAAAAATGGACGACAAACATACCCCTGGTTACCGACCAATGTTGCTCTACCTTGCAACGTGGAAACAAAATGGACGACAAACATAACCTGGTTACCTACCAATGTTGCTCTACCTTGGTCAAAAGTATGACACGTGGACACAAACATTCCACCATCACTAGCACAATATTTACATAAGCTGCTCTACCTGCCCTACCTGCTCTACTGTTTTCTTATCCCTATTCTACTACTACTGATACCATTTATCAATTTTGATTGATATCTGATTAAAATCAAAGGGGGAGAAAAAAAAACTATTTTAATTTCTTCGTAATAATTTGGATATCTGGGATAATAAACAGAGGTTAAGATGACATGAGGTATATTTGATCATAGTATATTTGGTTTGTGATTCTTTATTACCCAAATGTCCAACAAAATATAAAAACATTTCCTATCAATCAATTGTTTTGGAGAATATTCAAATATAATTACATTACATGTATGTATGTTTCATTATAATACGTTATTTTGATTGGCTAACAGCAATCTCGCGTCAGTCTGAAATTAACCTTCATTTCAAAATGAAATGTAACATTCATGATAACACGAGCTTCCAAAATAAAGTGCACAGGTAAATAAAAGAAAAATTTGATAGAAATCGTGTTTTGATGATCCAAGCAAAAAAATGTAATTATAAGTATTGATTGCTTCTTTTAGTAGTTTTTATAGGGGTGTAAAAGTGTTGACCGTACGCACATCTTTAAAACGAAGCGCTTACGCGCTTTATACAAAATGTACTTCGGTCAACGCTTTTACACCCAAATAAATTTACAAAAAGAAGCATTCAATTCTTAAATATTTAACACTTATTGGTACTAAAAAAAAATATTATACCCCCAAAAAATCTAAGACAATGTCATCCGTCCTCAAGCATCAATCTTCCAGCCCTAACCAATAAATTGTTGTTTGAATTATAAAGTTATTGAGTTATGGATCTTACAAACATGAAACTGAAGACGTAGGAATTATGACAGCGTTCTGATTCTGCAATTCCTTTCAATTCCCTTCAATTGTCCATTTATAAATTTTGAAATTATAAAGAAACAAAGGTTTCAGCTCTATCGGGCAAAGTTCATCTTCGACTGATTTGTTTTGGTTTTTTTTATGTCCTTTTGGTCAGATAGCTCATCAACTCTTTCTGTTCTTTTACATCACTGGCTTTAAAATATTCGGCGCTGGGCGTAAATGATGAAGATAAATTCAAAACACTATTGCAGAGCTTTTTGTTGTCAATGGTTATCCTGGTCTGACCTCTGTCACGAACTGTTTTATCAGTGGTGTAAAATGTAATCATTGTGACACAATGCAGGAAAAGGATGTAAGGTTAACTTTGTCTGCAATAGGATAGGAGACGAAATGATACGTTAACTCGTGCAAGATCGTGATTTTGAAGAAAAACACCGAGATTATGAATGTATAGTATTTGCATCGATAATTTCAATTACCAGTTCCGATTACGACCAGTTCAACATTTTATTCCAAATAATCTACTATTCTATTGTCAATTATCAACAATAAATTTGATATGCAGAAAACGCAAAATTTCATTATTCTGTAAATCGTTTATTTCTGAAAACAGAAAACCTTATCCATGTTATCCTTAATTTTTATACAATTATTTTTAAAAATACATTTTACCACCCCATTATTTTCTATTCCTTATTTGATTGCCTTTTTTTTTTTTTTTTGGGGGGGGGGGGGGGGGGGGGTCGGGGGAAATATTTCTATTCTATAAACCACCTCATATATCTTGGGTTATTTCAAATAAATATCTGATATTTAAGTGGAATAGGATGCATAATACTA